TTTCCGGCGGATTTGTCCGCCGGAAAAGAGTGTTATTTTGGTAGTGGTTCTTACCCCCTATCTCACTCATATACACCCTATAGGAAGGGGGTATGAATAGAATTCACCAAAAACAAGAGTAGTTTTCAAATCGAAAATAGACTTATATGTTAGATCGTCTCATATGGTTGGTAGATTTTTTCAACTATTGCTATATACTAAAATAATTTGGGCCCCTATTTCCTAAGGGCCTTGGGGGTGAGCCTGGTCGCCCTCTCCAAGGACAGCTCTGGGTGCAAGATCAAGTTGGAATTTCAGCGTCAGAGTGCAGTAGAACATTGTTACAACATAACTTGAGGCTGTTGATAATTCTCTACAACACTATTGGATTGAACGGCCTTCTCTCGAAATACAGATTAGACCCCATGATGGCAGTACTCAAATTAGTAAAAACCCAAGCTTAGTACAGATATTACCTTTCTTTCTATATAGTTTTGCAACTTATGAAGGTTGTTGCAGCTATTTGTAGCCTCTATAACACTATTTGATCAAAATATTTGTGTTGTCTTAATTTTAAGTCCAACTCATTTAATTAAAATAACAAGTGTCAATTTGTCAAAGATTACTCGATAAATATTAAACCCAAGAGTGAATGGTAGAGTAGATTACTATAGCAAAAGGAATTATCCACGAACATACAACTTATTCTTCCAACCTTCACTCACACCCCAAGCTAGGGTGTTTAGCCCATCTTTGCTAGAATTACCGATTTGAATATAAATAACATGAAAATAACTTGTTGAAAAGTAAATGTGCAAAAATTGTAAAGTGAAAGTTGTAAGTGTTGATGAAGCAACTAACAGAAATGAAGAACACTTAAATACTAAATGTTGCAAATAATATTAGGTTGCTAGAAAACAAAGCTTGTAAGAATTTTTGTCTCAGCCTACATGTTGAACAAATAAACATCCACCCTCGTATATAGCACTAAGGAGATAATACGTAAAGTACAAGGGAACATATTGTCCAAAGTTAATACCCAATACAAAAATCAACCTCTAAATTAGTAGCTAAGTACAAAGGTAATTCTTCCATCTAGTAGAATAAAATCTTCTAAAAGCCTGTTGATTACTTCCATAAGATATTCTATTCAAAATTTAAGCGTTAAAAAACTCTTCAAGGTTGATCATGAACTCGTCTTGCTTTTGTTGTTGTGGCAATGTCTGCTGCAGCAACAGTTTTGTTAACACATTTTCCACAATATCGTAAAACAATACGTAATTCTACAACCTAGCTCCAAAAAATCTTAAACCATAAAAATAAGAATAAAAGGACTCAATATGTAATTAAGAAGAATTAAAATGAAGTAAAACAAGTCCTAATTGGGTGCTAAAATGTATATTTCTATACGCCTATAACATATTCATACATACATATATATATATATATATATATATAGAGAGAGAGAGAGAGAGAGAGAGAGAAAGAAGGGTTTGAGGGAGAATATTAAAAAATGAATTGGAAATTCTCATTTAAAACATTATACTATAATATATAGGGTCGGTTCCGGTGAAAATTGAGAGTTAAAGTGAGAAGCGTAAGAAGACATCTCCACCCTTAGATGCACATTAGGATTAGATGCATTGAGATGCACCAGATCAATCCTTATACCAAGCGAGATTCACAGGTGGGTTTGAGATTAAAGGTGATCAAGGGTGAAGATATCTTCTTATGCTTCAATCAAAAAAACGGACATGTTGTTTGAGTTTGTTAGATAACGCTGTGTGAGGTAGACACCCACTATAACGCACTTTTTTTTTGTAAAATATGTTATTTTTATCAAATGCATATGTAGTTGTTGAAGCTTTCTGAAAAATGTAATGTTATTATTTGTGCATGAAAATCGTGATATCACTGGGTCATAAGCTCACCCAACTCCTTTTCTAAATAGTTATGCAAACATATTGTCACATACTCAGCAATAGTATGTAGCAAGAAAAAAAATAGAAGGCTTAGGACTTGTATTCCGAAGAATAAAGGCATGTTGAGGAAAGATGCTCAAGACTTTTGGTGATCGTTCATTTAGACTATTTCTCTATAGGTATTATTATCTTGAAATGTTATGTTACGATGAACTAATTAGAATTTAAGATATTATTGATATTAACGTTTTATTTATGGAAAAACTGGTTGTTACAAGTGGTATCATAACAGAGTTAAAGAGACGTAGGCATTAACGTTGACCTTATGCTTAAACTAGAGTGATAGTGGGTTAAGTCTAATAAAATATCCCCTTATGTTACCTAGGTGAACTCAATGGATAGAGTAAAATACGTTGTTGTTAGCACCAGATTGAAGGAGGGGACCAACGGGTTACTACCCTATGAGATAGACGAAAATGCCTTATAGGGGGACATCTCCTCACAACGATGGTACGATGTATGGTTGGTTCAACGATCATTACAACTCGGAATCCGACCTTATGGAAGAGGACCCCAAAAAATGACCCTGAAAAGATCATAGAAGGGGACCCTATGGTAGATGACCCTAAAGAAACTATAGAAAAAGATGCTGATGAAGATGAACCTAAAAAAATTATGGAAGAGAACCCTGAATAAATTATGGAAGAGGACCCTCAAGAAGATGACCATGAGGTAATTATTGAAGAGGACCCTGACAAATTATCAAAGAGGACCATGTGGAAGATGACCTTGAGAAAATTATGGAAGAGGACACTATGGAATTTACGGAAGATGACGTTAAGGGGGTTGTAAAAGGGTTGCATTGGAATCAGATCAAGAAATCAATAAGCACATGAGCTCGACATTTGTAGAGGGGCCAACCCGATATTTATTGGGAGAGACTGAGGCTACAACAAGTGATTGATCGACTGGAAAATAAGGTACTCATAGCAGAAGAAAAATGTAAGCAAAGTAAAAAAAATGTGTGCAATGAGTACTTCAAAGTGTTACGCACATGAAGGAAGCAGGGAAAAGAGATGAAGAAAAATATGGAGCAAATGTTAGTTACATTATCCTATATCAAGCGTCCACTATCAGTGGAAATGAAAGAGCAAGGCGGAATCATTGTATAGAAAGTCATAGAGACAATATATCAAATGAATGTGTTGGTTTATTGTACGATATATTGGGTGAGGGAAAGACCACCACTGCGATTGGTAAGAATTGAGTATCGGAGGCTGGTGGGCCCCGAACATAAAAGAAGAAGACCCCAATTACCTAAAGCATGAGTGGATTAATAACTTAT